TTATACGGGAGTAAGAATTCACTCGCACACGTGTGTCATCCACACGCGCGTGTGTCATTCACTCGCACACGTGTGTCATCCACACGCGCGTGTGTCATCCACTCATCACCCCTTGTCTTCGTTCAGTTTTCTTTAAATACCTCTCTCTTTCTAGTCCTGTATCGGGTCTTTTAATCTAGAAGGTAAGTATTTCCACAATTCCTCAACAGTCCCGACTCAGATATGACAGATAGCGAACGTTTAAATTGGGCAACTGAATGTGGTACTGAATGGCCGTGCAGCACTGTGACGTCTGCCGCTGAGATTTCGGCAAGTGTTCGAAATAGTCTAACTACCCCGACCCCTCCTTTGAGAATCCCTCCCAAAACAACAATCATAAGAAGAAGCCCTCCAGATGACGCATTCCTCGGTCCTTTGGATCCTTTCGAACCTAAGCCAGGAACACAATGAAGAACATTGCGAAACATGTCAACATACCCAACAGCTAAAAAAAGGTTAGAAACGGATGATAGAAAGATGTGACACCACACACGTGTGTTATCACACGCGTGTGTGTTATCACACGCGTGTGTGTTATCACACGCGTGTGTGTTATCACACGCGTGTGTTTGGTGTGTGTTTTACTTGGAGTATGAGTTTACGATGGTTTTTGATGGAACTAAAGTACTTGAGTAATTGCTCCTGTCCTTCCCTTAATCTGATGAGAGAGTCATCCATGGTTGCGTCAATCCTAAGGACCATTTCTTCCTGTTGGCTGACCATTCCAGCTACCCTGGAGAACATAGTTGAAACTTCCCCAATTAACCTTTGTAGCTGTTCCACGGCTTCTGACCTGGACTGGTGGTAGGTTTGCATGGTTGTCACCATACCTCCCCGCCGTCCAGCACTGACTTCCAGAATATCATCGTGTTGAGCTTCGATGTCAAAGTTGCTCGTGTCCTTGACGTAGATGCCTTTCCGTGCCTCCAAGATCTCCAGAGTTCGCCGTCGGGTTTGCAAAGCTGCCGTAAACTCCCGTGTACCCTCCATCATTTGACCCCGTAAAACGGCGACAAGCGTCTGCCGGTGGCTGCTCCCATCCCTCGTTAACGGGACGTCGGAATATCCGGATAAACCCTCACGCTCCAGCTCGTCTATCTTCGTACTTATATCTTGCAACGTCTAACCACACACTCATTACATATACTCACGACATATTCATTACATACAGTGCATATAGTGTAATGAAGTGTGAACATCAGTATTTACATTTTTGATCCTGTGAGTCATGAGGTCAATGTCTCTGGACTTGTCATCGAAGAGCGTCTTGTATTTAGCCAGGGTGTGAAGTCGATCGATGTTTTGTTTCAGAGAACTAAGCTGCTTTTCAATGACACGCACCGCTTCGTAAAAAGCCGAACTAGCCGCTGGCGTCGGTCCTGGACTGGTGGTTTGTGGACCTGTTGTATATGATCCTACAGGTCCCGTTGTATAAGGTCCCGTTGTATAGGATCCCGCTGTATAGGATCCCGTTGTATAGGGTCCATTAGCTGCGTTAGTATTGGGGGTAATAAAACATAGAAAATCGGAGGTTCGGTCCATACGGCAAAAAAAAAAGTTAAATAACCTTTACAGCGGCCCCATTGCGTTGAGAAACGCCAGTCCCAGTAGTGGTGGTGGTGGTGGGTGGTGTAGGTCGCTTCCATCCAGTCGGCGCCTTTTCCAGTAGCTGCTTTTCTTTGAGGAGTAGTGCATCGAGTTTGCTTTGCAAATCCTGTTGTTTCTTGTCCTTGTTAGCGCGGGATGTCGACAGCTTATTGTTCTGAGCCTCCACGATTTCGTCTATTTGTGCCACTACTTCTCGCGCGTCGTCGATAGTCTTCGGCACCGTCAAATCCAGAGACCTTAAATCTTTCAGCGAGGCCAATGAATGATTCATATACATAGAAGGAGGAGCTTGTTTCTGACGACTAGCTCGAGTCTTCTTTGGTAACGGAGCGGGAGCATCCGTCTTCTTAATCCGAACGACAAAATTTTGGTCGCCTACCGTGACCTTTTCGGGCACCGCTGTCGCCACCGTCTCTTCCTCTTGCTCACCCGCAGCCAACGTACCGTGATCATACTGACGGATAGCGTGGTCAAGATACTCCCGGACCTGGAGAGCCGTCACCGTCGTCCAGTCATACTCGTCGCGGTTCAACGATTGCAATGCCGTCTGCAGACTCTTCTTGTCCTGCTCAATCAGCGAAATCTGACGGTTGAAACGCTCCAACTCCTGCCGCTCCTGTCGCTTGCGACTCAACTCTGCAAAATGAGCCGACTCCTTCTGCTTCTGATCCGTAATCAACTGATTAAGTACCTCCGCGTGCTCGCTCCGTTCAGCACGCAACTTCGTCCGCTCATCCATCAAGTCACGCACCGGTTCATATGCCTGCTGCCGTTGCGTCTGCAACAACTCCAACTTACTCCGGAGCGAATCACGGGTCTCCCGTAGCAAACGCAGCTGTTCCCGAATCGTGACGCGCGCGTCCACGGCCGCCTCGCTCTCCGATGACCTAGGACTAGGACTATTTGCCTGACTTCCCGGGCCTTGACTTCCCGGCCCCTGACTGCTCAGTTCCTGCTGCAGCTTTTTCAGCTCCTGCAACTCCGGGATCCTCTTCCGTAGCTTTTCTATCTCCACCTGAAGTACCTTGTCTTCCTTCAAACTGATGCTACCCGTCATCCGCTTGTACTCTATAGCCTTGATCCGTTCCTCGATCTCCTCCACCGTCCGATACGGAATACCTCGCTGCATCGTCTCCACTCGAGACCGCAACGCACGACTCTGATTCACCGCACTCGTCTCCGCCTCTGTTATGCGACGACGCTCCTCCTCCAACTCCGTCGTCCGCCGCTGCACCGACGTAATCTCCTGCCGAATCTCGTCCTGCTGCTTAGACAACTCCAACAGCAACACGTGATGCTCGCTGACCTTCGATGATATTTCATTCTGAAACATAACCACCATACCCCAGATCCAACATCTGCGACCAACATCTCCCCCCAGAACAGCGTCTGTCTGTCTAACATCTATGATCGCCACCAACAACCAGTGCAGGGCCATACCATTTTCTTGTCTATAGTTTCCATGGCATCACGCTCCTGTGCAATGCGATCCTCGGCCGAAACAGCAGCGGCGGTCGTTTGAACGGTCATTATTAAGAACGAAAAATTTGCTGAGCCGGGGTCTTTCTTCCACACCAGCCCGGCTCCCCGGCCGCTGCCTCATCCATGCCTATGTTAATTGGGTGTCCTGCTGGTCTAAAAATGCAGCCTGCCGCTCTCCACACCTTTTTGGTAGCGGTCTACGACGGAAACATTGAGCACGTATGTAAGCACTCCGCTGAAGAAGCAAAGTGCGTGGAAACACTCATGGTACCCAAACACCTTGGGTGCTGGATTCGGCCTCTTCGTGGCATATGCAGCAGCTCCGATGATGTAACCCGACGCCAGGATGGTCAGCAACGCCTGCTCCGTACTGGTGAGTTTCTGCTGGAACTCGCGGAAAAAGGAGGCGTGCAGCAAACCCACGACCACGTAAATCAGAGCTCGGCCGCCGTAGCTGTTTTGATTGGAGAACGAGTCGCCTCGAAAGCATGTGAACGTGCCGATAAAAAGACAAACAACTTGTAAGGCGGTCCATATACCCAGCATGGTGGACGAAAAGGTCAGCAACGGGACCGGTGCTGCTGATCCTGCAATCATGCTGAAAATGCCCACGTGATCCAGTTGCCTCCAGAATGTTCTCTCATACATCCCCACTCGGTGGATGTTGTGCAGCAAAGACGAAGAACCAAAATTGAAGATGCACGACACCACGCTGATCACGCCAGCACATAAACTCCAGCCGCTCCGGCAGTGCCGCAACAAGCCGCAGGCCCACAGGGGACTCGCAACGAGCAGCACGATGTGAATCTTACCTCGCAGCAGTGGCGTGTCGTATAAAGCGTTAATCAAATCAATCGATCGACATTCCGCACGGCCGCGCCGTCGAGGAGGCCAGCTCTGGTCCACAAAGATCGTACCACGGCGGCCACGTCGGCGTGCGATACTCCTTAATTTCATCTCCGAAGAGGACCTCCTTTCCAAATTATCGCAGCGGTTGCTGCCGGCAACCACACTATTGCTGCAGGCGGATGTCGTTCCGCTAGAATCATGCAGACAGGTCTCCTTGCGGCAATGTCGGTCTATAAGGGAGTCCAACACCACCTCGTGCATCTCTGACGCCATTCTGCAGTCTAGCCTGCTAATTTAATCAGCAGCACACACGTGTGCGCGCATTTTTTTGAGCCGGGTTTTGAGAGGATTGAAGTCTGCAGCAGAAGACGAGGCTCCGCATGAGCGTCACCGGAGGCCAAAACCGTGTCTGTACTCCATAGCGATTCTAAGGAATTTTTCTAGATCAGCTTTCGACTTGTAAGGGGGAAGCAGGAGATGATTGAAGCACGTGTGTGCGGTAGGCAGCCGATCTATCTCTCCACCCGCTTTACTGATCGTGAGCTTGAGAGACGCGAGTGTGCCGACAGGTGTTCGATCAGATCCTGTGATGAAGAAAAGAAGTTTCTTTTTATCATCCTGGGTGAAGGAGTCTTCGCAAATTTGCCAGAACCATTGAATCTGGGGTGAGGAGTCAGTGTAGCCATCAACATAGCGAGCTCCCTCTCGCAAGCTTTTGAAATCGAGGTCGCCAGGAGCTCCACAAATCAATAAGTGTAGCTCAACGGGGCATAGGCGGCATAGTGTTGGGCCGCCGCAAGCGCGGTGGAAGCCTCGATAGAATGCCTGAAACCATGGGTTGTGTTGAAGAGGGTGTGTGCTTACGCTAAATTCTTTGTCGATGCTGTCAATCAAGTGATATTGCAGGACGGCCTGAACATATTCTTCCCTGTTGTGCTCGGTAACAGGTTCCTCAGGATCGTATACTTTGTCTCCCAGTTTGAGAGGTATGTCGATCATTTGTCCAAAACGATCGACGGTGACTGCAAAAGTGAGCATGAGAGCTTCGACATCGCTCCCGGGCATTTTCAGCAATTGTCTTAGGCCCTTGGCTACGTCGGGATAGAGCTCCGCCAAGTCCTCGATGGTTGGTTTGTATTCCACCTGGCCACTGGCCATCCAGTACACTATTTGTTGGGTAGTCATTTTCTTGGCCTCGGCGTAGTCGGTGCTAGCCATGTCGAAACTTTCCTCTTCGGGGGCGCACAATCGGCCTATGAAAGGTACATTCATGTCCACTCCAGGTACTTGGCCGCTGCCGGGTGCCCTGGGGCGGTTCCAATGACGAATGGCTCCAGCGGGTTGTGCCGTTCCAGCGGTCGGCTGGGTGCTACTGGCCGCTGTTTCGCCATTACCTCCTGCGGTTGTATCCCCAGATGTTTCTCCCGTTGTTTCGCTTCCAGTTGGGTCTGCTACAGGTTTGAGTTTCTCTGCAATGGTAGGGTTTGCAGACAGCAGTTTCTTGTACACGACGTGAGGGAAGTGGATGTCGAGAATGACGTAGTTATACACGGCGAGGCCCAATATAATACCGACCAATTCGAATTGTACGGGGGTTCCGAAGGCATCCGTCATGAACCAGAAGAGGTGTGTCTGATCGAGGTAGCAGAACATTCCGTAATCGGGGTTCATGATCTGTTCCACAAGCAGCTGAAAAAACTCCTTAGCCACGCCGCCTTCATCAATTCCTTCCTCTCCGATGAACTTCACTTTAAGCGGACTTTTCAGCGACTCGTAACCCTCCCAGACCTGCGCCAGTACCAACTTGTTTAAGGCATCATCCAAAATATGTTCCCTTCGCACCTCAATGGACAAGTAGGGCATGAAGAAAATGGGTCCAAGAGATATGACCCGCCCTCGGTCCATTTGTTGTTGTCGCGAGTCATAAGCGATAAGTCTGCTCTGGTTATTTGGGTCCAAGCAGCAGCTGGTCCGCACCAACCCGTAGATGCTACGTCCGTTGGTCTGATAAGCGAGAAAGTCCAGTTCTAGAAGCATGAGGTTGGAGCTACAATCAACGTAAAAGGATTCTTCGGGCAAATAGTCCTTGTGTAGAGGTTCCAGCGTCTCCACATGTAAGTCCGTCAGCGGCTCTTTACCAACCCAGTACTCAGAAGTCAGCACCTCGCTCTCATAATTTCGTCGTCGGTAGTCATTAGCCGCGTGTAAATCGCCTAAGTGACGTAAAGCTGACCGCACCAGGAACCCAAACCGGTCCAACAAAGCAACGTACTCATCCAGCATTCGGTGCATGGGGCCATGACCGGTCTGTGGCGGGGGACGCCCCGGCACCACAGTAGCACCCGAACGACTCGCGGCGGCTCCGCCAAGTCCCAAAGCAGATCCTGGTCCCGTTGCCGGGGAACCAGGTCCTGCGGCACCCGGCCCTCCTGCAGCACCCGGCCCCCCTGCAGAGCCAGCTCCTGTGGAGCCCGGACGTCCGGAGGGTGAACCGTCCATGCCCTCGTCCACGCGTGCCCGTCGGTGGTCGTCCGCCACCGAGCCACCAGACGAGGGTGTCACTTCCACCAACAGGACCGTGCACGTCAACGCGGTACTGGCGACGAGGCTTCGGAAGAGATCGAACGGAATGGATGATAGCCAGCTATAAAGAGGGTCAACGGGGGCCAGCCGCATGGCGCCGAACACATGTGCCAGTTCTTCGAGCGCCAGTTGGTCTTCGAACATCGGATTCAACTCGTACAACAGTAGTCGGCGGAACTGCGAGAGGGGAAGCTCAAACCGCTGCGCCTTGGGTAGAAAAAGTCGCACCATTTCTTGACAGCTCTGCTTGATGGCCGTTACCACCTGCGCCCCCGTTGCCTGGCCTTCTGGTTCACTGGACTGCGCTCGAATGAACCCGAGCTCTCTCCAGAACGTCTGGATCGCCGGCAAGTCTAGAGAAGCATCATGGTCACTCTCCTTGCGCCCATCTAGTCTACAGAAACTTCCAAACCACGGATCCCGCACTACCTGCAACGCCAACACCAACGCTTCTTTGTGGACCTCTGTCTCACATGTGCCTTCCGATCTCACAATCATGTCCACCAAAGTGCGCAACCGACCCATCGCCTTTTTGTACGCAAGCCGGCTTACCGAGCCTCGTTCGAATGCAGCACGGAACGCACCGTCGCTTATCTTGGCTGCCTCTTCGTCCACCGCTTTCAGCACATCTTCCCCCTCCGCCTCCGGGACCCGAATCCGCTTTGAACTCGCCACTGCGAATGTCGCGAAGCATTTGGACCGAAACGACGACAACTCAAAGCCCGCATACAGTCCCGACAAATAACCTCCTATCGTCACCACGTCCTCAAACTCTAACCACACACACGGGTTGACACACACACGGGTTGACACACACACGGGCCGACACACACACGGGTTGACGCACACACGGGTTGACACAGACCAATTGCCCCCACGCGCCCCATGACTATAACACAGCTACCAGGGCGCAACCGCCAGGACACAGTGCGCAGCCCGTTGCGTGCCACTTAGCGGCCATCCCTCCCTCCCGCAGCAGCAACCTACCGGAGTACAATATTTGAGCGGCGTCCATGGAGGAGTTTAAAAAAATCGCTTCCCGTTCGCTGCCAACAGGCCAGCTAAATCATCCCCCCGCTCGCAACTTGACATTGAGCAATGTCGTCCCCCCAGCTTGTCAAATGGAGCACCATGGCCTAGTTGGACAGCCCAGGCCCATAAGGATCACGAGTGGTCTGGACAGACTAAGTGTGTCTGAACCGACTAGAGCAGTCCGACGAGAGCAGTCTGACGAGAGATATTCCAGACCGACTGACCCGACTTCTCTAATTGGTCGAAGGTCGTCTGGACAGACTGAAGACGTCTGAACAGACTGAAGAACGCAACGACTAGTAGGGGCGCAGTTACCACTCCACTTGGATTCCTTGCTCCCTCAGAACTTGGTTGATGATTCTGTGCTCGCTGCTAAGACAGTCATCGTCGTCGACTGCGCCCATCATACCCAGCGGGGGCTTGTACCATTCGATAGAATCCATTTGCTGCATAGGCGGCACCTTTGGGCCAAGGTCTCCCGGACTGGGCACGACAGGACCCGGGCCACCCCAAGAAAGTCTCGCAGGCTGCTGTTGCGACGGGGCTTGACCAGACCGCACCAACTGACGGTTTAACGAACTGGCAGAGGACGGTCTCGAACCCGCGGCCCCAGGTACCGGCGCTGCTCGTTGTAACGACGCGTGGAACGTCGTGCGACCAGGAGGTGCTCCCGCCACCGCTTCGCCCCCGCCAGGAACTGACAACGCCAACGCAGACGGTACCATCTGCGTCTGACCTGTGTGCGGAAACGCAATCTGCTGCGCTTGCTGCGCCTGCTGCTGCACTTGCATCTGCGGCGGCGGCTGCTGCTGCTGCATCTTCTGCTGCTGCTGCTGCATCTGTTGCTGCTGCATCTGCTGCTGCTGCTGCATCTGTTGCTGTTGCTGCTGCTGCTGCATCTGTTGCTGCTGCTGCTGCATCTGTTGCTGCTGCTGCATCTGTTGCTGCTGCTGCTGCTGCATCTGTTGCTGCTGCTGCTGCATCTGTTGCTGCTGCTGCTGCATCTGTTGCTGCTGCTGCATTTGCTGCATCTGTTGCTGCATCTGCTGCGGATGTTGCGGTTGCTGCTGCATTGGTTGCATCGGCTGCGGCTGCATCGGCTGCGACTGGAAGCCGGTCGGACGTTGGAGGCCGTTGGGGGGTCGTTGCATGGAGGGGTTAGTGCCTGGGCTGCCACCGGAGATATGTTGCAGTGGCGCCTTCAGACCTAGGTCGTGCAAGACGTCGTAGTGGAGGTCGGCGTGCCCCTCGTAGTTTAGAGCCAAGTCATAGTGTGGAGCCAAGTCGTAGTGTGGCTCGTAGTGCTGGTAGACGGGCGATGGAGGACCCTCGCCCATACCCTTCGGAGACACGAGGGGCAGGCAGACCTGCTCGCACACGCCGGTCGCGGATGTTCCCGCCGAGGACCTCGGGGTCGGCTGCTGTCCGGAAAGAACGCGGTGTACTTCGTTATGGAGTGGGCCATTGGGCATTGGGCCGTTGGCCACGGGACCGTTGGGCATTGGGCCATTGGGCATGGCACCGTTGGACATTGGACCATTGGGCATGGCACCGTTGGACATTGGACCATTATGCATTAGACCGTTTGGTAGTAGGCCGTTATGGGAGTACGGTGGAGACCGTTGCCGATTTTCCTGGGCGGCTCGGGCAGCGAGACCGCTGTTTGAGGGGTCTCTGCGCAAGCCGCGGGTGGCGGCGTCCACTACCGGCGAGGAGTAGCCCGATGGGTCAGTGGTCAAACCAGTCCGGGCTGCAACGAGAGCGGGTATCGGTCGGATTCCTGAGGGGCTGTGGAGACCGCCTCCGTTTGTATAGGCCAGTGGGTGACCATTGGCGTGACCATTGGGGTGACCATTGGAGTAGCCAGTTGCACCTTGGAGGCCCACGGGCGGACCTTGGAGGCCCACGGGCGGACCTTGGAAGCCCGGACCGGGCGGACCTTGGAAGCCTGGACCGGGCGGACCTTGGAAGCCTGGACCCGGCGGACCTTGGAAGCCTGGACCGGATCGTGAAGGCGCCCCCCCAGCTTGGTGTTGGCGGGCTGCTAGAAGATTGTGCTGGTCGCCACCACGGTTCGACGGCTGACTGCCCTGAGGAGGGTGTCGAACCACTTGAGCATTTTGACCAAAGGAGGGATCTCCGGAGGCCGGAAGCGCCCCAGGGCCTCCGGAGCTTGTTGCGACTTGCTGCAGCAAGTTGGGAAACATCCCAGGACTAAAAAGCACAGCCGACTGATTAGTCAAGCCAACATGGCCGGGCATGCCAACCTGGCTAGGTATGACAGATTGGTTGTATGGAGCTTCTGTGTGAGACTTGAGGAAGGGGTTGAGCGCTTCTTGTCGAGGCCGAGAAGACTGCTCCTCCAAACTGGGCCGGGACCGCGGGGGGCTTTGTTGTGCCTGGAGGTAGAGGCCGCTTGGAGTATTTTGTAAGAGGCCTTGCTGCAGCTGTAACTGGATGTGACTAGCTTGAGGCAGTCGATGACTAGGCTGGGGCAATAGATGGCTTCCATGGGATCGGCTGAACCAATTCCCGGCCAGGTTGCTGACGCCGGTGTTACTGAGAGTAGGGTCGGCCGTCATACCTCCAGTAAGGTTACCGGGTAGGCTGCGGTTGCCGGGGGGAGAAATGGGGGACACTCCTGCGACCGGAGGCCGATCGTATCCTCCAACGTCTCCGTAGGTGAAAGGGTGCCCAATTTGGGGCTGGGAATTTACTCGAGGTCGTCCGGGGTCGGTGGGTCGATCGGCTGACCGGTTGGGTCGGGTGATAGTTGCGACGGGTCTCTCATCCTTTTCTGCGCCAGGAGGTCTTGCAGTAGAATCAAATTTATTCCTGGAAGGGTCTCGCTTGGAGTAATCCCTCCGTGAAGGGTCTTTCTTGGAAAAATCTCTCTCTCTCCTAGAAAGGTCTTTCTTCGAAGGGTCCCGCTTGGCCAGTTCTTTCCTAGAAGTGTCTTTCTTAGAAGGGTCCCCTGCAGAAGACTCTTTCTTGGGAAGGTCTCCGACAAAATCTCTTGTGGGAGCGTCTCTTGTGGGAGTGTCTCTTGTGGGAGCGTCTCTTGTGGGAGCGTCTCTTGTGGGAGCGTCTCTTGCGGGAGCGTCTCTTGTGGGGGCGTCTCTTGCGGGAGCGTCTCTCCCTTTCGCCGAAAGGTCCTTAGCCGAGAGGTCACGTGCCGAAAGGTCTTTGCCAGGGACGTCTCTGGCCGAAGGGTCTCTCGCCGTAGACAGGTCTCTGGCCGTGGATAGGTCTCTCGCGGTGGACAGGTCTCTGGCCGAAAGGTCTCGTTTAACCAGTGGCGATCGGGCGAATTCTCCATTGCCAGAAGCGCCGGCATCTCCATGGGAGGCGTTGTCATGAACTATCCAGGGGAGATCATGCATAAGAGGAACGCCGCTAGATGGGGCGGGTTGGGCACCCACTCGGGCGTCTCCGGTTCCGCGACGAGTTGCCACATTACGTGCAGCCATCATCATCATCGTCGGCGAAATCTTTTGTCAAAAAAAACCGTCATGAGACTAGCCATTCATCAGGAACAACGAAAGGGTTTCAGTCCCGAGTGGTCGTGGCCGGTGGCTGGGGCCATGATCCCTTCCACTGGCCATACAGAAAGACAGACCAGCAGCGTAGCGGAACGGGAAGACAGACCGAGCACAACAGAGGGAACAGAGTGCCAGCACAACAGAGTGCCAGCACAACAGAGTGTCAGCACAACAGAGTGTCAGCACAACAGAGTGCCAGCACAACAGAGGAGAGGGGAGAACTGGGACGATGGACTAGAACCCGACAGCGACGTCTGGAGGTGGAGCGGGTACTCTGCCAGCTAGTCTTCTCCTAGTCAAAGCTTGAGCTCTGACTACTCCAGCACGGAGTTTAAGGTATTCTTTCTGAGTGACATCCTTTTGTAGAGTGCTTCAATAAGAGAGATGAGTGGTTGCCAGCTTGCAAGTGCTTCTCTTTGTTTAT